AAGCGGTTTATGCCATGTCTCAGCCGGTTTCAGCCTTAGGCTAGGTGCAGACAATGGAAAAAAGAAATATAGGGATGCAAAGTAAATCAAAAAAGAATATTGTTATAGCCTAACTGGCATTGCTTAATTAACCTCTCGACACCGACACGTAAAGTATCTACTGTATGGGATATAGAACATATTTTTCATTTCCACTAACCAATAAAATAATCTGATTTACCATAAACATTATACAATGTACATTACTGTATTCTTATATTACACGATAAATATATAATATCTTTTCGAAATTCAATAATAGACTAAAATCACATACCCTATATACGTTAAAATGCATTGTTGCATATAGATATGTGATATAGCAATAACAAACACTATAAATTTAAAGGAAAATAATTGTTAAAGATTTCCTTAGGCGAAGTCGGCCAGTATTAGCAATTTAGATAAAACATTATCAAATGATTTCATTTACATTCCCTGAATACCGTAAAATCTCGAATTGAAGCCCTGGGCTTCTTGTTTATGCAAACTTTGCAAAAGTGCTGCAGGTTTTGATTTGATTTGATTCATTCAATATCATAAACAAATGAAAAACAATAAATACAAGACAAATAAAGTTATATCTTTATAACCCTCTAAATCCTAAAACAGGGTTTGTTTCCAGAGGGGTCCAAAATGCCATAGCAAACTGAGACAGTTTCAAAAGTGACAGTCTATTACCATGTGAGACAGTAATTGTTATTGGTGGATACTTCACCCTCATTTTAATTTTTAATTGAAGAGTAGAGGTTTGATTAAATAACAATAAAGTAATAAAAATAGTCAGATATTTCTAAATTGCATTAAAACGTAACAGATTGCTGAGATATGGAAAGGCTAACGACAGAGCATAGAATAATGAGTTTCGTTATGTAATGGTTCGCATAACGTAAGCAGAATGATGGGAAATCATCGATAAATTGCATTATGTAATTGTATCATCATCTTCGCTACATTTATACTCGTGTTCATCATTCATGTTACTTATCTTCATCAACAAAATATTTTATAGCATAATCATCATCACCGTCAATGTTACCTACAGCACCAAAAACGCGTCGTCATCACCATCCCCCTCTTGACAATCATGACCAATTATCAAATTGTTTAAATGATAAACCTTTATTCAATTATTAATAACATTAAATGTATACTATACTCTTTTTATGGTCATTGATAACAAATGCAAATTCTTACATCAACATACATAACTTTCATTATTGCAAAATAAACTGTCCTTTTAGTAGTTCATACTAACTATTCATACTAATTTATAACAAGTTGGTAGTTTGAACTTAGAATTATACATAACTTACAACATGTTTAGTGGTGGAATTAATAATTTCAGATTTTAAATTGCCCTTACATAAAGCAATTAAACAATTTGGTTCTATGCATTTATTGCTTTCTACACATTAAAATGGACATAGTACATGGAACAGCTAACACAAACAAGGTCCATTATCTGCTATACATAATGTATAAAAAGAGTAAAGTACTATTAACACTGGATACAACGATGTAACTTATAACACGAAGAATGGCCAGTGGCATAACAGCTAGTAAAGAACTCAAGATTTTATCCATGTAAACAAAAATGTGAATAATATATTTTTATGAGGTCTGTTCATAAGTGCAGTCACACAGAAAACATTTGAAATTGAGGGGCTCAACTATATAAAAAAAATAAATATTAAAATATAATTTGCATAAGTCAACTTAATAAATGAAAGAAAAAGAAAGACTATAGGCCTAAGTATGAATAAAGGCACTATATAGAAGCATACCACTTGATGGTAACTTATCATTAAAACACTTAGGCAATCAAACATTCGTCAATCTAGAAAATAACAACCTCAAATAAATGTTAATAATACAAAGATAATTAAAAAAATAAAACCATAATATTTTATATTTATAATGGTTTATATTGGCAAAATAAGTACTTGTGAAACAACACCTGGAATACTGTACTTTATCACAATTTGTTATATATTTTTAAAAGATTTTTATTTTATCTATTTATTCTTTCCTTATTGTTAATGTAACTTGCCCTAATAAATGTAAAAACGAGAAGTTTAATCAACAATATGACCAGTACATAAATTGAAATACTGCCCCCTATAGCTCAAACAATTTTAGCTATAGAAGGCATGACAGTATTTCAATTTACATACTGCCCTCTATAGCTCAAACAATTTGAGTATACTGTACAGACATTTTGGCCTTAGTGCCTGATACTACAGTGTCATTTGCCCTAGTGACAACTTTGCTTACCAAAGTGGCTGGGGCTGGCAAATAATCCAGTCCCTCAACATGTGCGTGCATTGACACATGTTATGTAAATGTGACTTGCTCTAGCAAAATCATACATTTTTCCACATTTCTAATCTGATGCTAGCATGCACTGTCTGAGAATCAGCATCACAACTAAATTATAAGAGATATTGTAAAATATTTCCACCAAGTATCAACCACTAAATCTAAAAAGTATATTAAAATTATTTTTAAAATAAGAATCTCAATATTAAACTACCAATATTAGAATATTTAAAAACTGTTTTATCAAAACCTATGAGGCTGATATTCAATTAATCAAATACTTATAACTTGAATTTTTCTGATGAATGGAGGGTTTTGCCAGACCTGGTCAAATATATTCTCTAAGTATTTGTCCACACTATTAAATTGTATGTAACAAATTTGTGTGATGTGCCCATATATGGGATAATATCGTATTAATAGTGTACGTTTATATAGCGCTGGTATATAAAGAGAGAGTGTGGAGCTGTTTATTTGCACAATTGTGGGTTTTGACAGGATTTTAATGCAGGACCATCACAGGAAGAAAAGCACCAATAAATAACAGCTCTAACTACATAATATATGAAAATGATGATATCAGATGAAGAAACAATGTACATTATAAATCATAATTGGCTGAAATTTTACAAATATTATCCATTACCAATACAAATATAATATTTCAAATAAACAGTATTCAATATTTAGCTTTTCGAATGAAAGACAATTAAATGTATTTTCTAAGAAAATAATATAATTTGTAGAAAAAAACTAGAAATTTCTTTTTGCCTAAGAAACAGTCTGGAATATAACAGACTAGAATACCTGTACTTATCTACTTAAAGCAATATAATACCCTGGCCAGTATTTCAATTTTTTAAACAAGAGGAATAATTTCATATAGGCCTGGATGCAATATAATATAAACGTAATATAATATTATATTCGTGTTAAGTATGCTGTTACAGAATCTTATAACATTTAGTATTTGTATCCATTTTGTATTTTATTCTGCTGAAATTATAAAATATGGCAGTGGCAAAACAGGGGGAAAGTTCCCAGTCTGCCCCTTATGCCTGATAAAATTAAACCTTAATAAATTAAATTCAAACCTTGAAATGCTCATTTAAAAGGATCAAATAAGTTACAAACTTCGAAGAAGAATTCAGCTTTCACTATTTAAAATTTGTTTACTACAAAAAGCCTTAAAGTGGTTAGCAGCAAATTTAAGGGTTTACGCATGCAAAGTATATTGGAAAGGTAGTATTATTTGAATCCGTTAATATTTCATTTCAATATCTCCTTGTTTAAATGTTAACATTAACTTTCGTGTGAGTTTTGATTGAAAATTTAAAGGATATAAGCCTGTTTCTCACGAGAGACCTAGTATCCGGATCGGGAGCTAACCATTATGGGGCACATCTCCTATCCGCACAAGGGCACACATTGGCACTAACACCAGACGCGTAACAGGGGGCTTGGGTCAGAGTGGGTATTTATTTTCCCGGTTAGTAATTTACCATACCCACCCCACCTCACTCCCCATATAGAAAACAATACGACATAGGGCTTATCTTAATTATAATATAGGCCACACATGTGTGTTTGAAACTAAATATAGGCCTAAGCATTTTCATCATGGTTCTATTTATTACAAACATATTCTTTCACCATCAATACACATTGAGGCCCTTCTTTTAGGTTAAAACGATCTATCTTAAATTTGTCTTTCTTGAGTTTTGGGACTATTATGTGTTTAAATAACTTAAAAGGATAAACCTAAAAAAGCCCTAAAAAATGCGCACAAAATTTTTTTGTGTTTTTAATTCTAATTTTGTCGCAATTGATGGAAACTCCCTAAAATGTGCAATTTTTGGGGCCGAGGAAATTGGCCTACCGTAACAAGAAATGCACGCAAACAATTTGAGAATTTTAGGCACTTTCAGAGGATGCATTTGTCAAGTGGTGCGGAAAGATTTTCCAAAGATGGATATTTTCCTTAATTGTCCCCCGGTGTTTTTAATTCTAATTTCGTTGGAATTGATCAAAACTCCCTAAAATGTGCAATTTTTAAAGGAAATTGGCCCATGTTAACAAGAAATGCGTGCGGAGTGCGAAATTTGAGGTTTTTAGGCACTTTCAGGGGATGAAAAGGGCATTTATAAAGGGGTGGGGAAGATTTTTCAAAGATAGATATTTTCCCCTTGTCCCCAGTGGTTACGCCATTGGGTAGCATAGATCAAAGGAGTTATGACAGTTTTTGAAGTGGAGACGGGGTTGCAGGGTGTTGTGAGTCTGGTCATTATGATATCTTCATTTTTATTCTTGTATTTATTTTTCTCTTCTCTTTTTCTTTCCTTTTCTTTTCCACTTCTTTCTCTTTCCCTCCCTCTCCCCTCTTTCTTTTCTCTTATTACCCAGTCTGGTATGACAGCTTGGTCAGCCCGGTAAAAACCGTCAAGGGAGGGGCAGTTTCCCCCCCCCCCCCCCCCCCCCCCCGACACTGGCTAACACGCCAATCATCCCCCCAATGAAAAATATTTTTCTACGGCACTGGCAATACACAATGCCTCTTGGAATGTAGTGAGATTCTGATAATAAAGAAAATCGTGTATCCTGTAAAAGGTGAAGAATAGGATGTATATACCATACTTAAATATACATTTAAATAATAACATTTATTATTCATACATTTTAGCTCAACTGACTGCTCAGAATATACATACTCATCTACTTATAAGTACATTATCTACTTAGCAATACCAACCATCATCCAAAAGCAATAAAATTTTACCCTTATAATTTACTGTTACAGAATTATCAGGTTTGTGAACAGATTTTTAAAAATTAGGCTTAGAGTAACAGCACTTATAATTATGTATTGTTATATTTTTTACTTACATATTCCATTATCTAAATGGTGGGCTTTTTACAATCGAATGCAAATTTAAATAAAATAAAAGATATTAAAAGGCATCTTTGAAAAATATTGTAGAAATAAGCAGAACTATGGACGGATGAATCAATCAATAAGTCTTTCGATCAATGAAATTGACAATTGGAAGGATTCAATTATATAATTATTCATACAAAAATTGCATACATTTCTTAAAATACAGTAGTATTTAACAAGGTGTAACAAGTTATTTTATCTAAATATAAAGCTTTTTCATTTCACCATTCACCATCATAAAACTTTACCTTGCATCGCCCTGACCAGTCTTTGCTTCAATTTCTTCAAAGAATTTGATGACCCTCTGAAAAAAAGAAGCCACAGAAAGAAAAAATAATTAGCTTTAAAAACAATAATATTTCTTCATTTTATATATTTATATTTCTTTTAAATCTATCAAGACAACATGAAACCTTGAGTGGAAAGCTGATCATTTGGAACCTTAAATGCTCTAAAATTACAACGGCAATTTGGGTTATTATTTACTGTGGCCTTCACGCTTTGATGAGCACAAAACCACCGTCCACCCGTCTTCCCGTCCCGTTGCGTAAAGTGCCTACTAAGTGCCTTGATGAGACTTAGAGAGTGGACAGCTCAAATGTTCTCTTAATCTTTTCTGAAAGTCCTTTAATGTATGGTATCCCAACTGTTCCTCCTGTTTATTTGTGATTGGTCTGTATTTATGTTTATTATTCATATTGTGCTGTATTTTTTCATGTCCATGCATGGTAGTGATACTGTTTAGGCGCTGATTTAATTTCTCTAATTTTGTCTTTCCCTATCTTCGATGAAATAATTACCGAATTACAATCTTTTTATATGTAGCAATCGGTGATGAAGGTATCTTGAAGCGCCCATCACTGATTGCAACATAAAATGAGTATAATGGGAGTTATAATTAAAATATTGATTTGTAATATGTGGCTTTTCTACAGTCTTTTGTATGCATGTTACCATCTACGGTGACTGTTGTTAGCGTGCCAAGGAATGGGATGGCAATATTCACATGTTAATTTGATGCTATTAGTGTTGTCAGAGATTAACATGTTTATGGACACCATTCCTCGGCATGCTGTTAATAGTCACTGTAGGCTGGTGGCCAGTTCCAATCTTTTGAAATAAGCAGCAGGCCAACATAAATTGTATACTTTACACTTTTTCAAGGACAGCCCTACCCATTCTATTTTATAGCAGTGGATTTTAAATAGAAGGGGACTTTCACAAATATGGGAAAAGGAGCAGAGGTAAGAAAATTTATGATTATGGCACCTCTCAATTTTCGGAAATGGCATTCTCTCAGACTTACATTTGAATATAATGTTCTTTTCTTCTCCATTTGATTTTATAATTTTGAAAAAAAAACTTGCACTTTAGGTACCCCTACACCTAGCACAAAAAAATCATGTACTAAGTCTGAAGTTTAAAAAAATGCCAGCGCTAGAAATTCTGACGAGGAGTCTGATACCACCAATAAACATTCAACAATGGACAACATATCCAGGAAGCAGAATCTTTCATCTTCAAGGTACCTAACTGTATTATTATTCCAAAATTACTCCAATTTACTAACAGTCAAAATTTTAAGCCCTTTGTTTTGTTTTTTCCAGGGCTGTGAGCTATTTCAATTAAACTTTCCAGAACCTTGTTTAGACCTATTATACTTACTACTACACTACGCTAGGAGCGTGTGGCGCATTGCTTGAGTCCTTGGGCACCCAGGAGTATAAATGAGTACCTGGTAGTTTAAAACACAAAAAATACCTGATTACAGCTGCAACATTATGGAATTCTCCCAAGGGACCTGAGTATGTGTTCCATATGTGCTTGATGCAATGACCGGGTGTAATAATGCTAAGCGCAAAGAGATCTCTACAATAGGTGCTATATAAGTCGACAATTATTATAAAACTTGCAGAGGTGACCCAATATGTCCGCCATAAGAACATAAGGTTAGATGAAAATTTTCATCTTAAGCAAAATTTCAATGGCTAAGGAATGTGAAGGCTACCATCTAAGTGTCACACAAAAATGAAAAAATGTTTTATACTCACCTTTCGGTCAAATGAGTGAGCCATATGAATAGCCGTCTTGCCTTGGTCATTTTTTATGTGCATGTCAGCCCCACGAGACACAAGCAGTTCTACTAGTGCTTGGTGGCCATTCAGTGTTGCATTCTTTTCAAAAGAAACATTTAAAAACACAATTAGAAACATCAAAGCATAATTGTAAAATAAAATTATTTAAAAGTAGTTAATTCTAAAGGCATTTATGTTTATTCAGGTAATTAATTATAACTTTTATCTTTTGTTTCTTTTCTTACCATCAAGGCTGTCTTTCCATCACTATCTCTTGCATTGGCATCTGCCCCGTCATTTAATAGCACCCTAGCAACTTCTGCATTACCACCCATCGTTGCACAGCGAATTAATGGTGTCCACCCTGATACAGACTCTTTTGCAGACACCTACAATAAATAAATAATAAATTTTAATCTATCAATCACAAGAAGTTATATAATATTTAAAGACTGATATCATTTTAATCATAAATACAATTTAAATAAATGGGTATAAGCTACTTGGCTGTGTGCTATTTTAATGGTTTCTTCTATTAATTTAAAGCATGGGCAAAAGTTCATGGGGAAATTGTTATATAGTATTTTGAGAAAAAAAATAAAATCATAAAATAAAAGCATAGATTTTTTTTTTTTTTTTTTAAATTGACAAAATCCTCATCCTCCCACTCATCACTTTCCTCATTATCATCATTCTTATCCACCATATCACCATCATCATAATCCTTCATCAATATTTTCCTCTTTATCATCATCTTCCTCATGCTTTTCCTCATTGACATCATCTCCATTCTCTTCTTTTCCTTATCACCATTACCACCACCATCCCTATCATCTGCTTTATCATCAACACCATCTTTCTTCCACTATCATCATCTTACTTTATACAAATACTCATCATCACCTCCACCACCCCCTTCCTCATCCTATTCCTATAAAAAAAGAAGGAAAGAAAATAGAAAATAAACTAGATCTTACATCAGCTCCATCTCTGATCATCCACCGGAGAAGTTCTGTATTTCCGCCATCGACTGCCCAATGGATAGCTGTAGATCCGCCTTTGTCTGCTGTTGTCCACTTGGCGCCATTCTGCCGCAGGATCTTAACGACGTCAAGGTGACCAGCGAAGCATGTTAGCATCAACGCATCTTTACCACTGGTTGTTTGAGCATTCACATCAGCTCCATAGTCTATTAACACTTTTACAATTCTAAATCAAATAATAGATTAAAACAGTAAATAATTTAAACAGGACTGTGAGTACTAGATGTCAAACTGTGGCTTAATAGTGGTTAAGATGTTTGCAATCATGAATTGGTTTTCTTGTACTCTGCTCTCTAAGCCTCTGGTTTATAGAGCAAGATAGCATCACATCTGAAGGTGTGTTTGCAATCGATTAATTTTAGTTAAACTAACCCTGATTTTTCTGATTGGAGAAAACAGCCTGATTATTTTCCTGAGTGTGGTTTACTGGGTTTTACTATGCAACTTGGGTCATTCTAGCAATATTTTCATTGGATTTTTTTTATTAAGTTACCAGGTACATGATTCAATTTTTAATAGTGCACCATCTTTCAAAAGACATATATTGTAAGCTGCTCTGTTTGATACACAATATGGCTTATAAATGTGCAAAGACACTCTTCAGAAAAGAGATATGGATTCCCAGTGTACTGGCAACTTCAATACTAAATAGTTATTTCTAGTGGGCTACTATTGTGTTGAATTGGGCAGCTTACCATTTGGAAAAGAGCAACAGATTCTCCCTAAGTGCATTGGCAAATTTAAAACCAGAAGCACCACATGCACTAGAATTAAGTCTTTTGACTTCCATTGTGTGTTTCACACAAACGTAATCCAAGAAAAATTACTGTAGAAAATTGAATACAATGGTCATACGATATCACACAGCCTTAATAGAAACTCTTACAAAAATGAAAAAAAATTGGTTTTTTTAATGGATAAGAAAATTATTACAAAACATACTCTTTGTGTCCTTTCTGTGCAGCATTCATGAGGGGTGTGAATCCAAACTTGTCTGGTGTATCAACCCAAACTTCACCTGTCTCCAATACCTCAATTATCCGGTCAATGTCGACGGTCAACATGATGGCTCTATGAAGGTGATCAGCGGTCAACGGCTCCTCTGCATTATGAAAATCAATAAAGTAATATTATTGGCAATATCTATGTTTAAACTTGGGTTGACACTAGATTAACTTTACAGTAACATTACCTTGACCAATTTGTGCAGCTGTTTGCATTTGGATTAATATACACAGTTGATATATCAAGACACTGGCAAAATATTATTGATAACACTCGTTTGAATGCATGACCATACTGCCCTGATTGGAAATATAGTACACTATTACAGCCTGCAGTCAATGTAAAGATGTTTAATAAATTTGAATTGATATGCTGCTCATTGTTTCAATGCAAATTAAATGAAAACACAAATTTCTTGGAATATACTGTATAACTTACTAGTAGTGGAGACTGTAACAGTGGGGCTAAGTTCGCTGGGTCCATGGTCGTTGGTAACACGTAGCCGGTAACGGTAAACCGAGGTTGGCTCCAGGGACTCAATCACATAACGTTTTGCATAGCCTCTGAAAAATTAAAAATATACTGTTTGTTTCAACTTTCATCAGATATTTAGAATATAAGCATATAGGTAACACTAGATCTAAACTTTTCAGGAAAATAAAGTTATTTATAGTCTCTTGTTGTAACTAGTGTTAATTTACCAGTTTATATGGTGTTGCCCTAATCATCGGGTACAAAATCTGTCCGCCGGACCTTTTTTTCCCCTGACCAATTTTGGCGTGACAGGCCTACTACAGTAATATTGCAAAAATTACTATGAGTCACACTACCTGTAGAAATTTTAGGGACAATAAAACTATCAAAAATTTCCCCACTGGGTGATTAGTAAACCACAGAATTTGCAATGTGCTCTAGGACAGTATTTTGTTTAGAATATATCCTACAGTTGAACTTCTTACTGTAGTAGGCCCCAACAGAAATTGTAACACTTGAACCAACATCTGTACATCTTTCCCACACTTGTGCTACCAAGATGGAACATTGCGGCACTTCCCAGTGGAAACATTTAAAGAGTACCCTAAAGGTTTTACAGTACTTTAACGACATGAACCTGAAGGCTATTGACTTTTAAAGAGTATAAATCAAACTTAAAACTGACCAATCAGGAAGTCCCCCAAACACAATTGTGCACTCAGTCGTTTTTTTAAGACCTTAGTAACATTTTCCAAAGGGCAATGCTTATCATCATGTTCTATTAAAATGACTAATCATCCTGAATCAAGTTTAATATGTTGAAACTCTAGAAAGAAATTAAAGTAAATGTGTATGGTAATAATAAAGTACAAAAACCTTTTACACTATTGCCTTATAAATATTCAGCATGTATAAAAGCACTTTAAATTGTCATTGTAAATAAAGAGATTAATAAAAGCTGAAGGAATCTGCCAGGGTTCCAAGGACAAAAACTAGAGAAAGGGAAAAAAAAATTTTTGTGAAGAAAAAAAAGAAAATATTCAGAAAAAAAAAATTTCAGATATTTTTCAGTAAGCCATAAAAAACTTATTATTCCTTTTGGTCCAGAACAGATGGTTGGCCTTTCTGGCAGAGGAGTGGACCTTACTGTAAAGCAGGGGGGAAGCCGAGGTCCCCGACAAGGAAGCCGATGCCCCCGACGAGGGGTCAGATTTCCCCAACAAAAGCAATGTGGGCATGGTCAAGCTTCGATTAAAAGGTTTCAAAAGTGGTCCAGGAGGCGAAGCCCCCAAAAATTTTAACAATATAGGGATTTCAAAGGCTTATTTAATCGATTTTAGAGTCTACTAATATGTAGAAAATACATATAATTTTTTTTTCTCCCCGACGAATTGTGCATTTTCTCCCTGACGGGGGTGCCAGCACTCCCCGACGGGGGGCTGTGGGCCCCCTCCCTCTGGCGCCACCCCTGCTGAAAGGTCCTGTGTCACTGAATGGGGCTGTCTGTCCATCTATCTTCATTTCCTGGGGAATATCCCTGTTGACTAGATAAAATCTTTGTACTAATGCACAATTATTATGCAAGACCTACTGTAACTCTTGAGGGTGGGGAAATAAAACACATAAGGAACAAAAATGTGACTGGCTTCAAACTCGAACCCTAAATATTCGGATTTTAAGCGGTACTACAGTATTCCACATGCTTCCATTGATATGGAGGACTAACAAACCTATTAACTGTTTGATCTGAATTGAAGTATTATTTCACAAAAAAATGTTGAATTTCTCTAGGCTATCAGATGACTGTTATTCTAACCCACTCAGCTGCTTTGTATAAATCACTTAGCACATAATGTCACAACACAAGTTTCATATGGTCAAACTGATCTGACAAACTACTCAACTGACCCACAAAAATTTAGTACTAATTAAAAAAAAATAAATCAACCTCCACAATAATTTTGTCATAGCAAAGCATGCTGTAGTATGATGATCATTCTGTATATAATAACAACACTTTTTAAATACCGTATTTATTCGAATAAACGCCCCAGGGCACTTATTGTTGAGAAGGGTTTTTAAGGGAGCGTTTATTCAAGGGAGGGGTATTTTTTTTTTTTTTGTGTAAATAGACATGTATACTAATTTCACTGTAAATGTGGAACCACATATTAACTAAACATAAATACCGTCAAAATGAGTTATTATGGTCATAAATACTGTGATCCCAAGCAGGTCAGAAAAAAGTGTAATAGTAGAACATTAATCAAATGTGTTGAGAATGATGTCGTTTCCATTAGATTTGTCTAGTCATTTGGGTGGAGAAAGGGGCGTATATTCCAAATGAGGTTTTAGATGGGGGAGGGGGCGCCTATTTGCAGGGGCATCTATTCAAAGCGGGGGCATTTATTAAAATAAATATGGCATTGTTGAAAATTACACAGTGGTGGTTACAAATGGAAGTAAAAGAAAAGGAACATAAATGACATTAATATTTTAAAAATCATTAAAAATACTAATACTACAGATACAGTATACCTGTATATTTACACAATATAATAATTGAAAAATGACAAAAAAAAACCCCTGTTGGAGAATAATTATAAGAAAATGAAGTTTTTAATAACTGCTCATCTAAATGTATAAATTAACCTTTCATTAGCACCTTAGTTTATGCTGTATGTTTAAACATATCAGTATAATTATAATGTTTATATTCTTTGTTTTCCATTTAATTTCTCTTTTAAATAATCAACAGTTATCATGCTCACACAGTATGTACTGTCTTTGTTCCATTTTCTATCATGTTTCAATGGTATTTCAATTGAAAATCGAACCTTGTGGAAATCCATTACTTATGTACTAAATGAGTCATCCTGAATAAAAGAACACTGAATTGAAAACTGTTAAACTTGACTAATATTTACAAGGTAGAGACATTAATGCATACTTTGCAACAATGACATTGCAGCACTTCATATTAAGTCAACTACTATTAGTTCCACAAGATAGCTATATTTAACATTTATGTGTACTTTGCAAAATAATCACATTCACATGTATGTAAGCTAACATTGTTCAATTCCCTTAATGTTCATTACGACAGATTCCACTAAAGTACAAATTGCTAAAGGGTCTAAAACGGCGGATGAAAGTTCAAATGATAGTTGAAACTTGATCACTATGCTATGCACTCAGACACAAAATTCAAGATTTATTTATCATTCATAAAAAGGAATTTTTGTTGATGGCTATAATTGGTGGACATATGAAACATATCTTTATATTTGCCAATTAGAGAACAAAATCTTTATTGTTCAAAGCGGCAATCCTTTTACTATTGCAACACAAAAAATGTACCAATTGAGTTTGTATGCCGAGAGAAAATCTTCTCATCTTGGTTTTTTTTTTTGAATGATTATGTACAAAGGACCAGATTATCATCCATTCTGTCATACATACTAAAATGTGCCAAAACAAAGTTGTGACACATATTTAAAATAATTATTAATCTAACGCCTAAATTTTTAAGAAATACAGTATGAATGCTATTTCTGCTAATTGTATGTTACTTTGTCAGAAGACAGAAAAATGTATGCAAGGGCAATAATTATATACCTAGCAATGTGTATGCACAGCAACGGTCAATGATCACATAGCGATAGGCAAAAAATGATATTATGAATGTCAATAATGCAATGTGGCAACAAGCTTGTGAAGTTTATAACAATTATTATTTTGTTTACCCAGACATAGGAAGAGATTGATTGTAACAGGAGTTAAAAATAGGGAACATCATTCTAAACCTTAATCCCTCATACACTTAAAAACACACTGGGGAGCGACAAATTTACGACTATGTTCCTGCCAATTAAATGTACATAGTATCAAACTATAACTTTTGAGTTCACAGAAAATAAATCATTCTTCCAGCATGATCATATATTTAATGCACAAGTAACCTAGCTATGTCAACTGTTTTAATTGAATTGATTACTTTAACCTTGGTCTAAAAACTTGAAGTTCAACAGAAGTACTGAATATTTCTCCCACACTCTCTGGTCACACAATAACTTTAATAGTTTTGATTAGAAACTGTTCCAAAGCCCTTTATAGCAAGATATTATTTGTTATAGCTCAAGTAAATTTAGTTGTCTGGTTGTAATAATCAACTCTACCTCTGTCTAAGAACGTTCAAATTTTGACAACTTATTTGCGATGAATTGTTAGAAAGCCATGGGAGAACTCCCTTCTATAGTCTTTAGATCCACTTAATGCGATGAAGGGTCGTTTACCGAGAGTAAGTATCTCTTTAAGAATTATTTAACCATAGGCATGTAGCCAAAAGACATACAGTAGGTTAATGCTTTTGAACCATCAACATATTGTAGGGTTGAATCTGTAGTTCACATTGCCTATCTAGTGTATACAGTATATTTCCGCAGGGCCAACATGGGCAACGATTCTCCAAAACTATAGCTGGACGAAATACATTGAATTATCATAATATAGAAGAGTATTACATTATTTGGTGTACATAGGCTTTAAATTTGGAAATCAAGTATCCATCTTATATTATATATTACAAAAACCCTGCACAGACACCTACAAATTTGTTGTTGTGCTTAATTTATTAATTTGAATTCTTGTGATAACTCTTAAAAATAATCTTTAATAATCGCCACAAAGAGAGGTGATAAAATTAGAAATGAATTGACACTTTCCACCTCATAATAATATATTAATAATAATAACCTTTATCTTAAGTTAATTATGGATAATCGTTACTTTGTAGAAAATCATATCCATTATTATATTTATTATATATTTACTCTGTTTATTTAAAGCTAGTCACAAGCTCTTTTTATTAAAATTAAGTTTACACACGTAATAATATTAGACCATGTACCTCCACTTCAAGATACTGGTATGAACACCATTACATCTAGTAAATATAATAGAGCCTACATAATACAAGCTAGTAGCAATAACACATCTTGTCTTTCATCTAAGACATGTTGATCGTGGGAGGTCAATAGAAAATAGTGAGTGATGAATAAATAAAATTCCTAAAATAGTAAATATAAAT